TTGGGCTGCGCCGCCTCGCGGGGATGAAGCACCGGCCGTGAAGATGGAGGTGACCTGCCTTCTACTTCTGGCGCTGATCCCCTTACACTGCCGAGGACAAGGAGTCTACGGTAAGAGCCCGTGTCCCGCGGCTCGCCGGCTGGGCACCGAGCGGAAACTTTGCAAGAGGCGCAAAGCGCGCGCTGCCGGGATTTGGTGGGAGCCCCGGCTGGCACTCTGGAGTGGATGCCCCGGTCCCCGCCCTTTTCCAGGGCGCGAGAAGATCGAGCCAGCTGCTTCGGAGCGCGGAGACGGGTCGCAGGGTCTGGCGGGAGGCTGGTGATGCCAGGGGGAGGTACCCACTTTCTCAAACCCCGTCAGGGGCCGGAGTTACGTGGAACCCTGGGGAGCATCCGGGCGGCTCCGTTGACTCCGACCGCCCCCAACCCCGGGGCTGGGGCCGCGACTTGCACTGAAACCAGGTTCTACCCCGGCTCGGCCTCCGGAGCGGAAGCCGAGCGATGCGCGACCCGGAGTTGCGCGCGGCTGGCGGGAGAGCTGGCTGCCGGCGCCGCCGCGGAGCCGGGGCTCGCCTTCCGCGGGCTCCCGGAGGCGTCGCTTCTTTCACTCGCTTCTTGACGGCCCTGGGTCCGGAGCCTAAAACCCCGGCATCCCTTTTCGGACCTCTTCCTGTCCCCGGTTCCCAGCTACAAAACCCCAGCCCCACCTTCCTTTCCCTGTGTGCGCGCGCAAACACACACGCGCACACACACGCGCACACACGCACACACACGCGCACACACACACACGCACACTCAGCCACAGTCCCCAGGAAATGCAAACACCGCACGCACCCACCAGCTACGTGTCCAAACTCTGCCTCCAGCTCAACAGCTTTGCTCCCACGTCCCCACACCTCACTCTCGGGCGCCAAGGGGACTCCAGTCACCCCTTCTCCCGTCTCTCCCGTGGGTTTTCCCCGGGATAGGTCCCGAGAGCAGGCATCATCCCTCTCAGGGACCCTCCCTCTGAATTCTAGCAGCCCTGACCCCACAGCACGAAAAGTCAGCCTCTGGGCCCAGTGGCCGTTTCTTCGCTTTCTCCTGACTGCAGGGCGGTCTGTGTAGGCCACTTTTTAATGATGTGTAGCTGGAGTGGGGAGGATTCTCTTTCTTTCTGAGGTTGAGAGCCTAGTTATTCGCCTTTGGATGCGGGGAGAGTTTGACCTGCTCTATTGGTGGGGGTCAGAGGTTACACTTTTGGCTACCAGCCTCAGGTGCAAATGCTAAATGCTTCCTTCTAGGGTGCCTCACCGAGGGATTTCTGGGAGGTGACTCGCTAGCTGGCTCGGGCTTACTTCCCTGGGGAGGCTGGCCCAGGCATCTGGCCAAACTCTGCTTCTTAATTAGTTTGTGTGTCTCTTACTGCCTGGCCCTTTATATAGAGGCCAGAAAAGGAAAGGAGGAAGAATGCAGCAGGGACTGAGAGGGGCTGGGTTATGGGGAGGAGGCCACTGAATGGGCCCCAGGGGCCTCAGCCTCCCCAGGGCAGGGGAAGACACCAGGGGTTTGTGTGTGGGGTCTTCTTTCTCGCTAAGGTTTCCCTACGGCCTCCTTAAGAGGTAGCCTCAGGAGGAACAGCGATGAGGCCTTTATCTCTTTCTCACCACACCCTGGGGCTCTGGAGAGTGACTGAGAGCCCTCCTGTTTGCTGCTATCCTCCAGCTTGTCTTCCCTCTGAGTGCCCTTGGGCAGATCTGGCAAGCCCATCTCCTGGCCGTCCCCTCCACCTTCTCCAACCTTCTCCAACCTTCTCCAACCTTCTCAAGGGCTGCATGGGGCACATCTTGAGGAAGTGCCTCAGAGTCTGGCCTGGAAACCCCAGCACTGAGGGCAAGGAGAGGAGATAGGTGCAGGGGTCTCTGCAGTCCCTGATTTCAGAGTGCTTTAGGGCCAGGGTTTAGTCATTGGCTTATCTGCCCCCTTTTCTTGGTATTTTCTTCCCTCCCTCATGTGTCTGGGTCCAAGCGGCCTCTCACTCAGAGTGATTCAAGTGGGCTGTGTGCATTGGTGCCAACCCTGGACTCTTGGGTGACATTCCTTCCACCTGCCCTTTGGGAGTGTTCCCTCGGGGATTGCTGGGTGGAAACTCTTTGCGGCTGTGGATGGAGAGAAAGGAAGGTCTAGCATGAGGAGAAGGGTAGCAAGAGGCTACTGAGTCCTTGTGCTGCTAGGAGCTTTGGCCAGACACAGCAGAAAAGAGAACCACTGTAGGGCTGGGGCTGGGGTGAGAAGTAGTATGGAGAGCTGGTTTTCTGCTCCCTCCCCCACTCTCCCTCTGTGCCCAAAGCAGATGAAGCAGCTTGAAAAAGAGTGGAGTGTAGGGGTGAGAAATGGTCACTAGTGTCCATCACTGTGTGCCAGCACCCAGCACCCAGCATGGCGCCTGGCACCCAGCAGGAGCTTAGCAAATATTGTTGCAAGAGTGAAGGGCCATGGTTGGGGGGCAGGCCAAGGAAATGCTTCTTGAAATTCTTTCTTTCCCAGAAGTCTGTCTAAGATGGTTTTCGGCAGAGCAGTTGGGCATTCTTTGAGGATCTCTGCTTAGGGTGAGTCATGAGCCTTAGGCTGGCAGTTTTTACTCAAGACAAACAAGAAGGGAGTGTGCCCTAGGGAGGGAACCCCCAGCCCCTTCCCCTCTGCCCCTAGGCCTAAGTGGCTGAGAGAGGGGCAGATTAGCAAACACAGAAGCCGAACTGAAGAGAGGGAGTAAGAGCAGTCTGTGGAGGGCAAACCCGCCAGAATCTGGCCTGAGCTGTGGAGTCGCTGCTAAGGCAGATAGGAGGCGGGGGCCCAGAGACCTATGCCGGGCTTCCCTCCGAGGGTCCTCTTGCGGGCTCTGAGCTGCGCTGTCTGCAGAAGGACTGGGGAAGCGCTCTCAGTCTGGCCAGGTGGCTTTGCTCTTCTTTGGGGCACAGATGCTACAGCAGCCGAGTACTAGACCAGATGGTCCATTTGGAGCTGGTTCCCTCTTTCCTCCCTGCCTCCCAATCTCCTGGCCCAGTTTGTTGTGCTTCAGGGTGGGTCCTATAAGCTGCTTTCTGACAGGGCAGGGTGGTGGGCTGGCCCCAGAGGCCTGGTTCTGGGCAAAGGCAGAAGCCAAGCGAAGGCGGAGTACCCTTCATGAGGAGAGCAACAGAAACCGCCTCCCCTGGCTTCCCCATCTCCTCCCACAGCTGCCGGACCTCCAGCCAGGGGCAGGTTGAAGGGATTCTTCTCTACAAAAACACAACAAACCTCTGGATTATTTAATATGCAGGAGTGGGAATTGACATTATCCTTAAGACAGGTTGTTTGCAACTTACTGGTGGAAGTCAAAATATTTCACCAAAGGTGTCATCAGAAACTACTATCCTATGCTAATTTTTGTGGGAACATGAAGACAGATGTTGAATAATTTGACAAGAGCAACATAGCTTACAGAATTATCACCAAGTCAGGTTTTTTTCCCTCCTCTGAGGGGTGCGGAGAAGGAATTTCAGGAAGTGTGCCTCCCAGCTCCGTCTTCTGGGTGTCAATCTAGGTGTGGGCTCTTTTGGGATTTTCACTAGATTTTCTACCCCATGCCTTGAAATTGCCTGTCCAGATCAGACTTTCCCGTTGGAGAAGGCATGGCATTTGAGAACTCTGGTCCCCTAGGGGCTAACAGAAAGCTTAGGGTTTTGCAAATGTCCTCAAGAAGGTCCATGCCTCTGCCCTTCCTTCCTTTTCAGTTACAGAGACTGTATGAGGGAGAGAGAGGGCCTTGTGTCCTCAGATCCAGGCGATTTTGTTTGCTTTGCCAGCATTGTCTGTACCCCCCCCCATTGATGTTGGCCCTTGAGCTTGCCTGAGGGCTCCCCAGTTCTGGAGTCAGACCCAAGAGCCCCGCCCCTGCCCCTTAGGGTCAAGGTCTGCATGATGTCTCATCCTACAAATCTGTGCTTCCTGGCTGGTGGGGGTCCTGGGGGTGGT